CTAGCATATGCTTACTCAAAGCAACTTGTTGTTAATAATGGCTCTTCTCAGCTTGCAGCCACGGTCTCGTCAAAGACGGCGTCCAGCTCTTCGTGTCACTCCTCCACGACTACCCAACGATCTCCCCGCGAGCTGAGCACTACTACTGCATGGTGGACCTCATAGCCAAGCTCGACGCTGCTGAGAAGTTTATAGCCGTGGCACCCCGACCGGGTGATCCACTCCACAATGCTGGGAGCCTCCAAAGTTCACAAGGACGTGGAGCAAGCGAGAAAGTCGGCCAAGCACTTGATGGAGCTCACATCGAATCGCTCCGTGGCGTACATGGTGCTGTCGAATCTCTACAACGAATTCAGGAAGAAGGACGAGAGGGGGGCAAGATCGGGAGGCTCATGTACGAGAAGAACATCAGGAAGGAGCCGGCTTTCAGCTCATCGTGGTGAAGCGAAGAGTCCACGAGTTCTTCACGGGGGACACGACAAATGCTCGAACTCCAGAGATCTTGGAGGAGCTGGAGAGGCTGAGGTCGGAGAGACACCACTCTCATGCTTCACGACGTGGGGGACGAGCAAAAGAAGCGCTTGCTCTCGTATCACAGCGAGAAGATGGCGATTGCGTTTGGGTTGATCAGCACAGCCCCAGGAACTTCGCTGAGGATCATCAAGAACTTGCGCGTGTGTGGGGACTGTCACACTGCCACCAAGTTTATCTCCAAGATCACGGAAAAAGAGATTGTCGTGAGAGACAGCCATCGCTTCCATCACTTTGACAATGGGACGTGCTCTTGTGGAGACTATTGATAATTCAGGTAAGTTTTAATCTAATTTTTTTTTAAAATAAGGAACAAAGCAAAAAGGTGGTTAAAAAGGGAGCTTAGTTTTATATAAATCCATGAAGGGAAGGAAAAACGATGGGTTCTCACTCGAGTTCTTCGATCGATCATCCATCCCCAAATTCGACTTGGTCTAACAAGAGGAAGCGTTCTCCACGTCCCCGTTCTTCGAAGAACCTAACTCGGTCGACCAAGAGGACGTGTTCTCCACACAAGAGGGTCCCTCTGGACCCTCCAGCCTTGTGCTCTCTCATGGATCTGGAAGGATCCGAGGTGGATCAAGCAAGTTTCTTTGAACTTAGAGAACCCAGAGAGGTGGACAACAAACTCGTGATGAAGCAAGAACTGTGGTGGCTTTTCTCGAACTCAAAACGACAACAACATTCACTAGCTTGTTTGGGAGTAACCGTGAACAGTATCAAGGCAGTACTAAGATGTAAGAAGATAAGTGGCAAAACAAAAAGGCCGTCATATGATGCCATATTGATGCGACCTCACTTGAAGAGTTAAGATTGGATCTTTCTTGCTCTGAGGTCAACTGGGGGGAACTTCTCAAAGATCTCTAGTTTGATGAAAATTGGGATGTTTTGTAAAAATAAACATTTTTAATAATTTAATTTGAGCCAAGTTGACATCCCTGGGTCAGTTGAAAGTAACTGTCGTCCGGCACTGCTGCTGCTGCTTTCGATCGATTTCTTCTCGATCTACAGCACCATCGAAAGCACTCGAAACAACCCAAGCATCCACCAACACGAGCCGGGATTTCCAAGAGCTCTGGAAAGCCTATCAAATTTTCCTGAACCGGCTCTCGAGATCACTCGCAAAAGATGACAACGATGACCTTCCCTGGTGGTATAACATCAACCCGCACTTTCCATGGCCCTCCTTTCCATTTCTGCGGCCTCCAATGCTACCACCACCGCCACCGCCACCTTTGTGCCCGTCACCACCGCCGCCAGTAAACTTCACCTCCAGCGATGTCGATTGAATCAACCACGTTCACTATCTCCAAGCCGAGTTCTTCCTCCATGCAGCGTTTGGGCACGGGCTTGACAAAGTTAATGCAAAGCTTGCCGAGAAGGGGCCACCGCCTATTGGAGGCCGCAAAGCTCAACTCTCTACACAAATGGAGCATGTTGCCAAAGAACTTAGGCTCCAATCTACAGGTCATATCAGGTAGTTAACATTTCTTTCTCTCAAGTCTTTTTTTCTAAAGTTGTTTTCACACAGGGCAATCCAAGATAAGCTGGACAAACAATCGATTTGTCGGCCCCTGCTAAACATAGATGCTGGAGTGTGGAATTCCCTCATCAGCAAGGCTCTCGTTCACAATCACACCGAAGTTGATGGTGGTTCTTTGCAGTTTGATCCGTACGAAAACGACGCAAACTTTCTCATTGCTGCATATGTGATACCGTACGTTGGCCTTAACACGCTCGTAGGTTCGAGCAATCGAGTGACTGGCATTCAAGCACGAAATGTAACAAAGAATTACAAGATTTTCAAGAGATTCTTTGTTTCTTCAAAACAGTTGGTTGTCCGGATTGATGGGAATCCAAGCCGGCCAGGACGCAGTGATCCGGACACTGCTCTGGAAAACAAGTTACCTCCGTACAACGTCACAGTCGCAAAGTTGACAGGCCTCGTCTCGGATCTCCGTCGCAAGCTTGATCATACAAGAAAGGCCGACGAGGGCTTGAGTGTGCATCAAAACCGTGGAGCCGCGAAGCAAGTAAACGGGAATCTGATCTCCGCGAATGACTACTCCATGGCCATCTCCGAGACCGCCCCAGTAAGTTCCCCAAGTTTCGCACGGAACAGGAGACGCTTCCGTATCGGGATTGTTCTTCCCCAAGGGGGCTAACGCTGACATCTTTCTCAAACCCAGGCGGCCCAAACTTTAGTGTGAATGACCTTTTGCCTTTCCAGAAGTTCTAGCAAATGAGATTCCAAACTTAGGATCAGCCGAGGAAACCTTCTTGTAAAAACAAACGGTGTCTCCTTCCTTGAGCGAGTGCTCCCTCACGTAATGAATCCAGTGTGTTGTGATCAGGTTTTTTCCTTCTTGCAACGGAGCTCCCAAACTCCGCCCTCTTCGTCCACAAATTCCACGAGAACCTTTTGATCATTCGGGAGAATTGTCTTGTACTTGACCGGGATGAGCAATCTGTGCAGGCTATTCACGTCGCTGGCGGTCAGCTTCTTGTCAAAAAGTAGAGCCCAACGAGATGGATCGCAGGTGACGAGAGGATCCTCGCGTTTCCGGGGTCTCCACTTGTGACACTTCGTTTTCTTGGTGTCTCCCGCCGGCTGAATCGCGCCATCTTCACCTGAGGACGAGGAATCTTTCACCTCATCAGTCCTTGAACCATAATCTCGATCGCCCATCTTATGTTTCTTTACCTTTTGTCCCAGTTGTTGACATTCGTCCATGACCACCACCTTTCTTCGTTTCTTCTCATGTAGCTGCCCAGCTTCCTGGTTAATCACTTGTCTTTTGCCGTTGGAATCGGGCTCGCTGGTGCTCATATCCGCCGCGAACCAAAGTAGAGCCCTCCAGAGCATGGATTTCCGTGGAGACCGCTTCCTTCTCAGGACAAATGTCTTCGAAAAACTTGGCTAGGCTGCAGCATCCGCAAGAACCAACAGTCCAGAAAAATCTTTGCTTGTCATCTCACCACCCTTTGCTTTAATCCAAACCTATACACTATTCACTGCCTTTTAAATAAAAGTTAAGCAAAAGGGGGTTAAAAATCTTGTCGACGCCTACGTGGCAAAAGGCTTTGATTTGAAATCCCTAACAATCTCCCGGGCTCTTCAAATTTGGTTCCCGGTTCGTCGATCGATCGATCGATCGGAGGAAAGTTACTATATATCGCGATGAGGAGCGCATTGGGTCTTTCGGGCCAATTGATGAGATGCCGGTCCTCCCCGGCGACCAGCGCAAATGCTGTGATCATCGGCGCCACCGCCGTTCCAATTGAGCAGCTTCAATCCTCTCAGCACTGCCGCCGCTGCCGCCGCCGCCGCCTCCAGCCCAGGAGTGGCATCGACTTGTAGAGATTTCAGGAAGCTCTTGCTCAGTCGCCCATACGTAAACACGAGTCTCTCTCCTTTCTCTTCGATCTTTCGCATTTAAATGGGCGATGTCGAATCGATTCAACTCTCTTGGATTTCGATGGCGGTGATGCACAAACAGGGGAGGAAGAGGGCTGATCCCGATAATTAGATACAAGCACGATCCTATCGTTTGTTTTCTTCCGTTCCAGTACACGAGCTAGAACAAACATTTCTTATCAGGTTTTCATTACACCGGTCTAGAGCTTGCTTTCAATATTGTTCGGTCGTCGGTGGAGTTTCATCAGGTTCTCTTATCAGGTGTGACCAGTCTAGAGCTTGCATCAAATCCACTCACAGTTTCATAGTTCACATCAGGAACAAGTTCATCAAATCATGCAACAATTGCTCACCGATATTGATTGATATGGTTTTGTAATTAAATTTTTTTTAATAGCGCTCTTTGCTCTTGCTGGAGCTGGCAAAGCTGGAGAATCAGTGGAGACGGACCCATAGTGCTTCGATCATGACTATGGTGCTTATTTTGCTAGCCATACATGCCACACTTGCGTTACCTGGATCAAGAAAGAAATGAGTCAAGCGATCTACTCTTACTTGCGTGTAAGAGGCCTTTGCGTTCCAGGCTCTCAACGCAATCGTCGAACATTTGCTCCAGCGACTTGAATTGGATCCCAAGGTCGTCCTGAAGCTTTCTGGAGCTGAATCCCTTGAAATTTGCCGGCCACCGGACCTCGATCCTGCAAGAAAGCAAAGGAATGAGTATAAAACAGCGCCAGAAAACTAAATTTTTGTTTGCGTGATCTTACTCGTCGGTAGAGGCGATTTTGTGCTTGGGATACCTCTTGGACGTGAAGCTGGCGAGCTCGATCGCACTCATGTTGATAGCAGAGCAAACGTATCTTCCACTGGCTTTGGGATTTGTGTAGGCGAGGAGGTGAGCTTGAGCAACGTCGTCGAGATGGACGTATCCAGCGTGATCTATCCACTGCTTGGCTCCTGCAGTGAGGTTGGAATCTCAAAAACGTCCTTCTTCTGTTCTTCCGATGTAGAAAGGCTTGCCTTGGAGCAGCCGGAGAATATAGGCACGCTTGCGGTGGCCCTGGACGAGAGAAGTTCTCCAACGATTAAGCTGGGAGCGATTGTGATCACATCTATGCCGCTTTCTTTCCCAAACTCGAGTGCTGCTTGCTCGGATAGAGTCTTTCCCAGACCATACCACATCTAGACTTCAAAAGTTTTTTAAGAATTGGTCCTTTGGAAATAAGACACTTGCCTGAGTCTCACGGCAGCAGTCTGGGGAGCTCCACACCGATTCATCCAAGACGTCATCGGGCTTGAAGTCGTTCCTCACGCGGACAGCAGTCACGGATGACGTGCACACCACTCGCTTGACTGTCGTAGATCTCTTGCAGGCATCGAGCACGTTTAGAGTTCCAAGCAAGCATGGATCAACAATCTCGGTCTGGAAGAAGAACCGTAAACAAAAACAACCAGTAAAAGTTTGTGATACAAGACTAGACCGAATCGAAGGAGTCAAGCAAAGTTACCTGTGGATCGTCCTTGTAGCTGAGAGTCACGGCAGCCGCGACATGGAAAACTCCATGGCAGCCTTGAACAATATCGTCAAAGGCCCCTTGCGCGGCCTTCTTGAGCTCCAGCCTCTCTCTCGCCCCTGGAAGCGCGAAGTCTTGCTCGCATCGTCTAGTATCAGAAACAAGAGAATTAAACTATGTTTCTTCTCGTTTGTATGTACCTGGATCGCGCACAGTCCCGATGACGTGATATCCCTCCTCCAATAGCCGCTTCACGAGCCAAGATGCCAGGAAACCAGAAGCGCCGGTGACACACACCTTCTCGTTCGCCATCGCCATGGAATGACCCTAAAGTGGACCTTGGCTCTCACTCACACAAGAATGATCAGTAACCAGGAATTTTACTTTCAAACCTTCAATGCTGGACAATGCATAGAACTTTCATTCCCTTCGCTTGAGCGATGATCTTCCAGTGATTCCTGTGATATTGAGAAACACGAACTCCTCCACCGCCGGGATGGCCCCGATCCTGTGCAGCACTTCCTTGCTCGGCTCCTCATCCACGCCAATCGCCATCACCGCCTGCTTCCTGACGAAGTCCTCCCCACGCTCATGAAGCTCACGTTCACGTTCCCGTCGCCCAGCAGCCCGCCAACTTTCCCGATGATCCCCGGCTGATCCACCTGTTTGCACAGGATGACCGATCCCTCCAGGCTCACTTCCATGCTAAACTGCCCCACCTGCGAGAGGTGTGGAAGCCCGTTCTTGATCCTGCCCGCCACCGCCACCGCCACCCTTCCACCGTCGGAGACTGCGGTCGAGAACTTTGGAGATCTTCACCGCGATGCTCTCCAGCGGCTGGGCCTGCGTGCCCGTCCCCTCGGCCGGGTGCCTCTCCTCGCTGATCCGGATGCCACGCTGCTTTGCGACGTAGTCTGCGTTCACGAGGTTGATGAAGGCGTCCGACACTGGCTCCACCAGGCCCTTGACGATCATCGCGCGGAGGAGCCGGGTGTCTAGATCGTCCGGGGACCGGGCGGACGTGTAGCTGATGATTACGTCCTTGACTCCGCCCCAGCTGCTAGCTTTCCCAGCTTCTCGGCCAGTGAGCTCGGTTAAAACCTGGAGTTGCGAGCATTGAGTGTCGAGCAAAGCAGTAAAGAGATTAGCATACCTTGGAGGAAACCATTGGAGCGTTCACCGCAGTAGCGGAAAGCTCTCCACGCAACGCGCCAACGACAGCCTCAGCAATCTCTACGGCCACGCCTTCCTACAAACTCCATTTTGATGAGCCATGGAAGTTGGGATGCTGCTAACCTGCGCTTCTACCGTGCTCGCACCTAGATGGGGAGTAACTATCACATTCTCGTGCTGGACCACCTTGTTGTCCTTTGCAGGCGGTTCTTGCTCGAACACATCGTGAGCAGCCTAACAAAAAACACACCAACGTGTCAGATCTCTCTCTCTTGAATAAATAAGTAAAAGATCTACCTGAGCCACAGTGCCATTGTCAAGTGCCTTGATCAACGCAGCTTCGTCAATGACACCGCCCCTCGCGACGTTGATGATGCGAACTCCCTTCTTTACCTTCGCAAAAGTTTCGTCGTTGCCGTGAGCGGCATGTGGAGCGAGATAAAGTCGGCTCGAGCCAGTGCCTCGTCGAAGCCAACGATCTCCACTCCAATGGCGCGGGCCCTGTCGGCGGGAGCATACGGATCGTGCGCAATCACGTGCATGCCCAGGCCTTTGGCTCTCCGAGCAACTTCCGATCCCACTTTCCCAAATCCCATGACGGCGATGGTTTTGTCTACTAGAGAAACGCCCGTGTACTTGCTTCTCTGCCACTTCCCTGGAGAAACAGAAAAAATAAAGAAACGACTCTCGTGTTAGTTCTTCTTAGACCAAGAGAGTAGAACTTAGTAAACAATGGAGAAAGGTCAGCAAGACAAGACCAAACAAAGCTAATGATTTCGAACAATGGAGCAAAATCACCAAGACAAAATCAAGCAAAGTTAGTAATTTTAACCATGGAGCAAAGTCAGCAAGACAAGATCAAACAAAGCTAATGATTCCAAACAATGAAACAAAGTCAGCAAGACATTATCAAACAAAGTAACGATTTTAAAAGCACTCGTGCGCAAGAACAAAGTTGGAGCATCCAGCAAAACACAAACACAATCAAACACCACAAAGAAAAGAAAAGAAATGCCACACAAAGATCTTACCTGACTTGACAGAAGCGTTTGCTTGCGCGACGTTCCTGGCCAATGCAGCAAGGAGAGCGATGGCGTGCTCGGCCGCTGCCACAGCGTTTGCCGTGGGAGCATTCACTACCAGGCAGCTCTTATCGGTGGCGGCTTGCAAGTTGACGTTGTCGATCCCAACGCCAGCCCTCCCCACAACCTTTAGTCTTCCATTGGCCGCCTCAAACACCTCGTTTGTGACCTTGGTAGCGCTCCTCACGATCACCGCGTCACACAGGGAAATCTTGGCCTGGAGCTCCTTGGGGGAGAGATTGTAGGAGCAGTCGACGTTGGCTACCTTGCGGAGGAGATCCAGGCCGGCCTCTCCCAGCTTCTCAGCGACGAGCACGGTCGGCCTGGGCGTCACGTCTTTCACTGCACTACTCGGACGAGCGAGGGCGTGATTATGGAATCCACTCGGCCGGAGCTTGGCGGTTCGTTTCAGTATTTCTATTCTGTTTTAGGAAGTGGTGAGCCAATTAAGCTGGTGCTTGGAAAGAGCAAGATGATTCGAAGGCTGGGAAGAAGGACTACTAACTGTTGTGATGGTGGGGAAATTCAGTAGCATCTCTTTGTTTCTCATTCATACTCGATGATGGTTTCCCAGCTTAAAATCTTACCTGAGTTTCACTATGGAGATCCCGACCGTCCGGTTAGTGCGCGAGAAGACTTTCCGAAACACGAGATTCTAATTATTGAGATAGACATGCTTGAGATCCGACCTGTGAAGGTCAGTAGGCTTTGCTCTTTTCTTTCTTGACTCGAGTTGTTTTCAGGTGATCACAGATGACTTTGGGGGTACTCAAGCAGGTTCATATATACTCGGTTTGCAAGCTCCAAAGTTAACTCAACCCGTAGGTTCTCCGTGAGGGCGAGGGATTCGAGACTGCACGGGAGCCATACGAGATAAATGTTTGGTGTGTACTGTCCCTTCATCTTTTGGTGTGGTAACAAAAACGCCTTACTCTAGGATAACCGGAAGTGTAAACGGAGAAGTGTTCTTCGCTCACACCAAGGGCAATCCATTCGAATTTTGCTTTGGCAAAAAAGAGGTATAATATCTCTATCTTTGCGCGTCAAACTCGAGTACAATGTTTGCCTTGGCCTTGAGAAAGGCATAGGAACAAGGACAAAAGGGGAGAAGGCTATTGTATACGTTACCACAGAGTATCTTACTCCATCATCCGCCATTCCCGATCTACCTGTTACTTCCGGTGAAGTGGCATTTGAAGTAGAAGTAGTTCAAATAATACAGGTATGATGCTGTTTTCTATTTCCTGATGGTTAAAGCGCGTATTTTTAAGCTGCGAGACATGTTTGGCGATGGCCGCGTAGTGAAGTGGCGCATCCGTGATGGAGTAGCCATGGACTGCCCACTTCAAGACAGTACATTGCGTATACACTACAAGGGAGTGCTACCAAGCGAAGGTGGCAAAGTGTTTGTTGATACCCGAAATGACAACGAAGGCGGAGAGCCATTGGTTTTTGCTACAGGAGAAGGACTGGTATGCTTCAAACATATCGCATTGGAAGCTGAAAATGTTGTTTATGACAGGTTCCTGAAGGTTTGGAAATTTGCCTTAAACTTACGCTACCCGGGGAGCATGTTCTAAATTGTGTGTGACAATGCTATTTGTTCTCCTGAATAAGGTGAGAAAACCCGTTTGCTATGGTATTTAACCATCTTTTGGCAGGCCAAAACTTGTTCCAGAGAATGTCCAAAATCATACCGAGAACAAAAGCACATAGAATAAAAGTTTACCTTCACAGTGTCAAAGCTTAAAAGCTCCACCTCCCATTGTCTGGCAGGAGATAATGGATGATGCCACTAAAATGAGAACTACCATATTGTGTAATTCGAGTAGTATTTTATCATCTAATCTTCAGTTTACAGGGCAATCGGTTATTTAAAGAAGGGAAGTTTGAATTGGCGAAAGCTAAATACGAAAAGGTAATCTTCCTATCTTTTATTCTGAATATCCCAAAGCTGTTCTGATTATCTTACACAGATTTTACGAGAGTTTAAACACGTGAATCCTCAAGATGACAATGAGGGTGTAGAGTTTGCACAAGCTCGTGTAAGCTTTTCTCACTTTTAAAAGTTCGCTCTGCTATTAACTTGCGCATTTTGCTTACAGACTCTAATACAACTGAACGTCGCAGCTTGTGAACAGAAACAAGGAAACTTCAGGAAGTGTATTGAATTATGCAACCAGGTATGCACAATTAATTTTATTCTTTCTCTAACTTTGGATATGAATATGCAGGTTCTAGAAGTAAATCCTTGTCACTCGAAAGCACTGTACCGCCGAGGGAATGCTTTTATGGGAATGGGGGATTTTGACGACGCTCAGAAGGATTTCGAAAAGGCAAAAGTATGTAAAAGTATGTTAGAGGCATGTGTTCTTACAAATATCTTGCAGATGGCCAGTACAGACAAGTCGTCGTAAGTGGACGCAAAAGCTGCTCTATCCACACTGAAAAGGAAAGAGCAGGTTGGTAATTAGCAATGGACCTTCATAATTCTGCTCATAGTATTTCAGAGTTCGGAAGCAGTTTCAAGGGCTCCTTGACAAGAAGCCAGGTGAACTATCTAAAGAGACGCTCGAGCCAAGAGAGGTAGCCGAGAACAGTGTGCGATCCGAAGAGCAGCAGCCTGAGGAAATTGTTAATCCACCTTCCTCTTTGAGGCAACAAATGAAAACTATTTGGAACGCTGGGAGGAGTTTATGGAGAGGCCAAAAATGCGTCATTTTGTGAGCGGTACGTTGGCGCTGTTCTGACGTTGGTTGTATAATACTGGTTCTTTTTTGTAGGTGGAATCACGGGCTTGTAGGAATATAATACATACACATGGCATGGTGTGGTCTTTTAGAGACGGAGCTTAGTACGTCGTTTCTGCGGTTTCCGAATGGTTGCTTGGTTGTCATGTTTCTTTAGTTTCTTTGAAATCTTGTTTCCTGTGACGTGTGGCATCCATGATAGTGTGCTAGTCTTGACTTTGTAGCTGACAGTTTTCCGTTGAGTGTCGAGGACTTCCGGGTCAGAGAAAAGGCAGGAAAAAGAAAGGATGAAAAAAATTAAAAGACTTCCGTTTGATTGTAGCGTCGGAACCGGGGCTAATGGCTGTGTCTTGGATGCAGGATATCTT